TGTTTTGGAATGTACCACTAAACTTAACATGGGGAAATTGTAGAGCTTGTTTCTTTTGTTTCCTTTTTTCAGGGATTATGGTCCTATCTTATTGCCCCATGTATAGAAATAGTTATTGTATAAAATTCATCCAGTTTTCTAGTCGTTTGTGGAGAGAGAGTTAGTCTAGTCCTTGCTATTCCATCTTTGTTGAAGTCAGAATTTCCTATATTTTTAATAAGGTAAGAAACTGTCATTTAATTTTTTCCTGACATACAGTTATCAGATTATCCCAAATACCACATTTGGACAGATCATTCTTTCCTCACTGATTTGTGATGACATTTCTGTGATATATTAGGTTCTGATGCATACTTAGGTGCCTTTCTAGACTTTCACCTTTATCCTGTTGGTCTTTTATGTATTTTTACGGTAGCATCAAACTGTTTAATTACTACAGCTTTGTAAGAAATCTTGGTTTTATGTCAGGTGAGTCCCTATTTTTAATTCCTGCCATTTATGGACATCGGATAACACCTTTTATCTTTTTCCCAATGAACTTTTTATCTATTTGAATTATTTTTTTTATCTATTTGAATTATTTGATTGAAGTAAGAAATGAAAGCAGGTTAGCCATTGTAGTTCATTCTTGAAATCTTGTGTTCGGCTACGCAGTTGCTCTATCAGTGATATCTATATCAGATGAAATGCTCTTAAAATACAAGTTTTGCCTAAGGTATGCCTTTCACCTAGGTTTTAAGATAGTAACATTGTATATTAATAGGCAATTCTCACAAAGGCTTCTATAATCTTTAGGTAAATAAGGGACCAAATATCAAATGGCTGTCAAATGTTGTGATGGTTCTCTCATTGATGGCAACAAAGGCATCCACATTTTCTCTGCTAAAAAGTCAAGAAATATCTAATAAGAGTTGTTATAGGATCCTCTAACATTATCAGACATTGTTCTTTGTACCTAATAATAATGTGGACATGAGATTTTTTTTCCAGTGACCCAAAGAGTCATAATTGTGAGAGTCTTTCTGAATTATGCATGCAACTTGTATATGTGGATGATGATGTTTACATATATTTATATTTTTTTCCATCCTCTATAATGGAAACTTATATTTCAGTAAGTATACAGTACAGTTATGCAACCATTGAGGCAGTTAGGCTTGAGGAGGGTGTTCTTAGAGGATTTGTTACTTAGTAATACACCTTTGTTGGGTCATTGTGGGATTTTACTTATTCTCTCATTATAGAGACCTAGAGCCAAATTTGTGTCTGTGTACTACTGCACAATACATTTCTTAACTGGCTTTTAAAGAAAATCTGCAAGAGTTGCCACTGATTCATACCATATTTTCCACCCTGGTAATAGTTTTTAATGCTTTAATTCAGTAGTAGTAATGGTAGTAGCAGCAGCCATCATCAGTGCTCTTAAAACTTTTACTTCACCTAGTCTTCCCCTTACAGCCCATGTGCCCCCATCACAGTGCAATGATTTGGTTTTACAAGTGTCCATAGCAATTTGCTGCTGGGTTAATGGGGATTCATGGAGGTTAAATGACTTGTCTAAGCATATACAATCAGTGGGAACTGGGACTTTAGCCAGATATTCTAGCTCCATTCCTAGCAAGGGATGGGTTAATGTCGTTCCTTCATTCATAAATTCATTCATTCATTCATACATTCACCAAAGAAAATACTTATAAAACTCCTATGATCTACCAAGAGGTCTTCTAGCTTTGGAGGTATATCAATAAACAAAACTGACAAGAATCCCTGCCCAACTGGAGCTTATATTTCAGGAAGGCAGAGGGGAAACCATGATAGATCACAAAAAAGTAAATTCCATAGTATATTAGGAGGTGATGAAGTATAATTAGAAAAAATAGAGCAGGTGGGGGAATTAGGAGTACTAATTTTTATACATTTTGGGAGGCAAAAACAAATTTTTCTATTTTTTTTTTTAATTTTTATTTATTTATGATAGGCACACAGTGAGAGGGAGAGAGGCAGAGACACAGGCAGAGGGAGAAGCAGGCTCCATGCACCGGGAGCCCGACGTGGGATTCGATCCCGGGTCTCCAGCATCGCGCCCTGGGCCAAAGGCAGGCGCTAAACCGCTGTGCCACCCAGGGATCCCCAAATTTTTCTATTTTTATCTGATAAATTATATCAAAATGACAGATTTTGTTCTAAACCTTTCAACGTATGTTGCTTGGAACAATGTTCTACTTCTTGCCTCCCTCCCCACTATCCCAAGAAACAGTGCTGTAAAGGATGGCTAAATTGAAAGATCAACCCTCAAAATACACGTAATTCATTATCTATTTTAGCTTAGTTCAAATCTAATGGTATCAGGAGTGCCTGGGTGGCTCAGTGGTTGAACATCTGCCTTTGGGTCAGGGTCCTAGGATTGAGTCCGCATCAGGCTCCTGGCAGGGAACCTGCTTCTGCCTCTGCCTATGTCTCTGCCTCTGTCTTTCATGAATAAATAGATAAAATCTTAAAAAACAAAACAAAACAAAAACCTAATTGTATTGTAGGCCTACCCAGTCGCTACAGTGGATTTTTTTTTTTTTCTTGCTTTGGTAAAATATATTCCAGGCTTGGAGTGGGTGGGGAGTGGTTGCCAGGAGGTGTCAGGATCCTCATCTTTTCAAGTGACTTTTCCAGCTTGGATGTAAGCAACTCCCTCCTTTGATATTGTCCAGTATTGTGCAGCAAGGGCTTCCCTCATTCAAGTTATTGATGGTAGCTCCTTCACTGCCAGAGGCTAGGGCATTGTTTTGGGAGATGAGGGATTTTAGGGAGGAAGGGATCGGTAGCATGGCTTCTCTTCTTACAGGAGGTGGGAAATTGATAATGGGAATGAACTGCAGGGGGAATTTCAGCTGGCATCAGTGACAGAAGGGAGGAAAGGGGAGTCCCTGGTTTAACAGGTGGGCCAGTGAGTTACTGGGATGTTTGTGAGTCAGGGGTGGCCTTTCATCTCCTTGAGTATATGTAAGTTTGTGTAGGTAAATTCTGGAGATGGATTTACCTACGCCTTCTCACTTGATTTCCATAAAACCTGAAATAGTTCTTGGATTATAGGCAAAGCTTACTAAATATTTGTTGGATAAATGAATGAAAATATGGTCATCAACTTTTTTTCTCTCTACAGATTTGGTTATGTAGAACTGAAAGAAGGCCTAGTGATGATAAACAGCATTAATATTTTCAGTGAACATTTAGGTTTTAACTGGGTTGGGGTTTTTTGTGGTTGGTTTTTGTGTTTTTAGCTTGCATTTTTTTTTAAATTAGTTTCTTAAGTAGAAGTTAGTGATTCATCTGTTGCATACAACACCCAAGTGTTCATGACATCATGTGCCCTCCTTAATGCTCATCACCCCGTTATCCCATCCCCCCACTCACCTCCACTGCAGCAACCCTCAGTTTGTTTCCTAGAGTTCAGCGTCTCTTAAGGTTGGCCTTCTTCTCAATTTTCATCTTATCTTATTTGTCCTTCCCTTCCACTGTGTTCATCTGTTTTGTTTCTTAAATTCCACATATGAGTGACATCATATGGTATTGGTCTTTCTCTGACTTATTTCGCTTAGCATAATACTCCATCTATGTCATTGCAATGACAAGATTTCATTCTTTTTGACGGCTAAGAAATATTCCATTGTATATATATATATATATTCTACATCTTCTTTATCCATTTATCTCTTGATGGATGGGCTCTTTCCATGTTTTGGCTATTGTGGAAACATAAACATTGGGGTGCATGTGTCCCTTTGATTCACTATGTTTGTATCCTTTTGGATAAATACGCTAGTTGAACTGGCTGTATTAAGGCTCCCCTCCTGCCTCTTTTTCCCCTCCCATGCACACCCACTTCTTCAGGATCAAATCCAACCTCCTTAATCTGGCATTAGAGGCCTACCAAGGTCTCATTTCTGTTGACCTTTCTAGCTATACTTCTCTGCCAAGCCTTTGCCTTTACAGCCTGTGCTGCAGTCCTAAGGCATGACTTATTATTTCCCTAATGTGCCCCTTGCAGATGTCTCTTGCAGCACCTCTCATATTTTGCCGTTTCCTTTTTTTTTTTTTAAATGGATGTCTCCTCACAGCGCATAAGCTCTTTAAATTAGGGGACCTGGCATATTTTCATATTTCCAGGGCTTGGCACAGTTTCTGGCACATCATAAATGGTCAGAAAATACTTAACTGAATGTCAAAGATGGTTTTACCTCCAAGATAGAGATTAGTGGGAACTTGAAGAGGTTGGATATGGAACAAATAAATTGATGAAAGCAGTTTCATATCATTAGAGGGCTTGGATGGGTGTGTCCAGGGACAAATGTGGTTAAAGGGAGCAAAATATTAGAAAACTATAGTTTTTAGCACTGTTTTAGAATACTCTAATTCTGTTGGAATACTCTAGTTTAGGTGAGGAGAGATGAAATATAACATGATTGAATCAGTATACTTAGCTAGAAAAAAACAGCTTACAGAGAGGAAGGGTCATTTGACATATGTTGTTTGGAAAGTGCAGCCATCTGGCGGTGGTCTGACTGTAGGCGTATCAGCCCCCTTATTCAGCCTATGAGAATCATGCCAGACAGTGACCCTGCTTGTCCTGGGGATATAACAGGAGGGGGAGAATTAGGGCAGTCGTGGTGCATTCATGTCCTTGTTCATGCTGTCTTTGTCTTAGTCACTATGAGTGTTGAGGTTAGACTTAACCTGATCTTGGTTCAGTGGGAAAGAAGGCTGTGAAAATCTGGTTACATCTGTCAAGGGTGTGAGAGAGGCCAATGGCTGTGTTTGTTTTACATGTTTGTCATCCCTAGTTGATGGTTTATATTTTCTGTGCTGATTCAGTGGATCGATAATCAGTTGGCCCAGCATAGTTGAACAAGTAGATGTGTTTTATATAATTTTAATAATGTGTATTTTGGACTCTAGTCAGGGAGGCTATTGGTTTTAAAAGATTAAAAACATTCTTTTTTTCTAAATAGGTTTGTTACAGAAAGAGAAAATGGCTATTGAAGCATTTCAGATTTGCTGCCTCCTCCTGCCACCTGAAAACAGGAGAAAGTTACAGCTGTTGATGAGGATGATGGCAAGAATCTGCCTAAATAAGGAGATGCCATCCCTGTGTGATGGCTTTGGGACCCGAACACTGGTAGGTTGATCTCTAACACCTAACTTGACTTGAGTGTTTGGACTACAGTTTACCTGAGTATAGTTTTACTACCCTGGCAGTCAGAGGATGGTGCAAGGTGGGCTTGCTCCAAGAGCTGTGGCTTGGAAACGCACAGGCGGGATTATACTTTTGGTGTTGGTGTCTTAACCTAGTGTTAAGTGAAGAGTAAGGAGGCATAGAGTCTGAGTGTAGAGCTACCTACGGCCTCCTGCCTGCTGTTACCATGGAGAAAAGTCAGGGTGGGCAGTCAGGATAAGTGTTCTCTCAAGAAAGTGACATATTCTCCTCCAGGACAGAAAGGGTTTGGAAGCATTTGTTAATATAACAAGTAGAAGAGGTGCTGCATGTATAATGAGGCAGAGAGGAAAGAAGGAAAACAGAAAGTTGGACCAGACCACCTCGGAGGAGACAGAGAGTTTGTTCTTCTCTCAGGGTATGACCTAAGGGTTCATGAGTGAGGATATTGTTTAAAATATTCTCAGTTTTGCTTAAAAACATAGGTTAGCTTTGAATTCTACTTTGTCATGTCAGCATGTCTTTTGAAATAGGGTTTATGTAGAATTTCTTCTACAGAATTTCTTCATTTTCCTCAGAATTGGAGGTCTTGGAGCAAAATCGAGACTTCATTGGGGTTTGCATCCTTTCCATATCCATATACGCCCAAGGGTCCTGTGGCCCAGGTTTAGAAGGATAGAGTAAGAGTAGAGGAGCATTTAGTGCCCAGTAGAGTGATTCTTGACCTTCTTTTTGGTTGAGAAGATGGTAATGGACCTTTTTGAAAACTTGAAGAATACTTTGCACCTATTCTGCAGAAGAATGCACGTGTAAAATTTTGGATCTAATTTCAAGACATTCAGATTCCCCTGAGTCCATAGTCCCCAGGTTAAAAATGTCTGTGTGTCTGTACATGTAAATGTGAGTGCAGATACAGTATCACTGGCAGTATGTTGATGACACAAAGTCTAATTAAACAGAATTAGATGATTTTTTGCTTATAGGTTTTGAAATAAGATTGTCAGCAATAGGGTAGCCTGGGTGGCTCAGCGGTTTAGCGCCACCTTCAGCCCAGGGTGTGATCCTGGAGACCCAGGATTGAGTCCCACGTCAGGCTTCCTGCATGGAACCTGCTTCTCCCTCTGCCTGTGCTTCTGCCTCTCTCTCTCTCTCTCTCTCTCTCTCTCTGTGTGTGTGTGTGTCTCTCATGAATAAATAAATAAAATCTTAAAAAAAATATTCTCAGCAATAAATTAGTAGGAAAAGGAAAAAAAAGTCCATCCAAAGGATAGTATTATGAATGGAATAGTTAATATGAATCCTATGGAAGCATAGAACATACTATTTTTTCTATTTCTGCTTATTATGAAGAGTCTCATCACTTAATGTATTATTATAAAGTGTCATTGTTTTGTTCAAATGTGATTGTCAGATGTACACCCAAAATCCTAGAGAAGATAACAGTTAACTAGGAAAAAGTATAACAGTTGAGGCACATAGATTGTGCTAGCAGATTATTAAAAAATCAATAATGAAATAAGGATATTAGTTAACTAAATGGCTTTAAAGTACTTTGAACTTAAAAGTACTACATGATTCAAGTAATGGTGGTGATAATTTTCAGAATTCGTTTATATATATTTAAAATGGTCTGTGAAGAGATGTGCTTTAAAAACTGCTCAGACAATCCTCTCTGCTGAGCCTCAGCAAGATGAGATGATGCACCTTCTGTTCACACTGGTTGATAAGAAGATCAGCCCATTGGGATGACCGGGTGTGGTCAGGCGCCAGAAAGGATGTGTGTACCCTGGGCCATGGGCCATTTCTCATTTAACTAGTCATGTTTGGTTTTTGCAAATTAATTCAACACAGTTCAGCGTAGGAAAAAAATCCTCATCTGTGTTTATTTAAAAAATACCTCCTCCTCTTTTTTCAGATGGTTCAGACATTTTCCCGTTGCATCTTGTGTTCCAAGGATGAAGTAGACTTGGATGAGTTATTAGCTGTTAGGTTGGTGACATTTCTGATGGACAATTACCAAGAGATTCTGAAGGTCCCTTTGGCCCTGCAGACCTCCATAGAGGAGCGCGTGGCTCATCTACGAAGAGTCCAGGTAAAGGAAGGGATTTTAACAGACCTTTAAAATTGCCAGCAGAAAGTCAGGTAAACTTGCTAGGCTTTTTGGGATTTCTAGCTGTGTAGGATTAAGTGAATGAATATGTACAAAGTGCTTCCAACAGAACTTGGTAAGCTCTATGTGTGTTTGGTAATTTCCGAAATTTATGAAATGCTTATTTGGTTTGGTTATGTCAATCAATACTGCATACTTCTAATTGCAAATTCCTTAAATGATAGCCTGTCTGGATTTTAGTTTCCAAAGGAGTTAAAATGGGCCTTACCTGCTTTATAAAACTGTTGTGAAGAGTAGAATACTATACTGTAAAATCCCTAGGTGACAGATAGCAGGTGCTCTTTGAAAGGTAGCTATTATTGTTGTTATTGTTATAGTAAAATGATCCGAAAGAAATGTAATACATTACTATCATGTGTGCTCCACAGTGGGGTGTGTATGTTGGCCTGAGAGAGCAGAAACTCTGATAGAGGCAGACAGAGGTCTGCTTGGCTCCTTCTGAATGAGTGGCCCTCTTTCTGCTTAAGCATTTTTTGAGGTTCCACAATAAAGGACCACTGAGCTGCTGCTCCTGAAGTATTATTGAAGTCAATAACTGTTCATGGTCATCACTGTGTAATTTAAAAATTAAAATAGGAGTGCTTGGGTGGCTCAGTCAGCCAAGTGTCTTGACAATACAACAAGAAATATTTCCTACATCACTAAATATTCTTGACTGACCCGAGGGTGGTTGAAAGCACAGACTCTGGAGCTAAGTGGTATTTCTGTTCCTTGTTTACCCTTTATTGGTCCCGTGACCTTGGGCAGATTTTATAATGTGTCTCTGCTTTAGTCTCTACCCGACTTGTCTCTTTTCTCCTCTGTAACATGGGATAATGCTAGATAACACCTACCTCCTAGGATTGTTTTAGTGTTTGAATGGCTTAAGATGTGTGAAGTGCTTTGAATGATATTCATCACATAGTAGCCCCTCAGCTGGTAGCTGCTATTGTTAATATTATTATCATCATTAGTTTTATATTATTCCACAATACTGTTATTGGTAGCATAGTATTCCATAATATGGATGTATAATTTAAGTGATTTTCTTTGGTTAATATTGAAATTGTTTCCATTTCCCCTCTATTTGGCAACTAACATATTGGTAAATATTTTTATACCTATGTTTTTTTCAGGGGAGATGATCCATGATTATTTTCTAAGAATATTTAGGGGTGGCCCTGCATAGTCAGAGGCCATGGATGTATTTTAAGTATTAATTGCGTTTTACCAAATTTCCCTTTAGAATGATTGTTCCAATCTATATTCCCATGAGTGGTCTGAGAAACCTTGCCTACTTCTCATTAACATATATATCTTTGCCATTTTGATGAGTAAAACGTCTAACCTTACCGCTGTTTTAAACTCCATCCCCCTAATACTTTTATGACCCAAACTTAAAAAAACAAGAAGAAAAGAAATCCTTCACTGACTTTCTGCAAGGAGAAGTGATCGCAGTAGCCATGTTGCTCTGTATATATGCTTCCTAGGTTCATTGCTCCCACAACACAGGTGTACACTGAGGCAGCTTATAAGTGAGCCTTTTGCTCTAAGTTGAAGATCAGAAGGCTGAGCTCTCTGCTGATTTATTTAACTGCAGATTAGCGTGATTTTGTGGAGAGGCACTACCCTGGCACTAAGTAAAACCAGTAACCACTCGTTTGTCCAATTACATTCTCTCTCATAGAAGTACTCAGTAGAATTGCCAAACAGTTGTTTCAATACTCAGAGGTCTGTTGTCTCCAGTGGACTGCTCAGCCCTGCAGCTTATCAGGTGCAGGGCAGTGCTTCTCGGAAAACGAGCACTGTGACTTGGATTGTTCTGGTGAAGTTTCAGGGCCGACCTTGTGATAGATAAATTGTAAAGTGGGCATTGTCTTTGACACCAACCTTCTATTAGCCCTGACTGCAACCCTCTTCTTCCCTTTTGTGCCTTTAATCACAGGTATCTAGTGTTTTCCTTCCTAGGCTTCTGGCTGCAGAAGAACAATAAGTGTTATATTTTTGGAAGATGGAACTCTGGGACTCTGAAATTAAACTTTTAAATTTCTGTTATTGAAGTGTAATTGACATGAAGTATAATTGACATACAGCGTTAGGTTAGTTTCAAATGTACAGCAGCGCATGACTCAGCAATTCTGTACATTACGTAGTAGTCCCTGCAGTGAAGGCAGTCACCATTCAGTGTTATTTCATTATTGGCTGTATTCCCTATGACGCATTTTTTATCTCTGTGACTTATTTATTTTGTAACTGGAAATTTGTACCGCTGAATCCCCTTCATCTGTTTGCCAATTTCTGCCCCCACCCTCGTACTCCCTCTTCTCTGGGCAACCACCAGTTTGTTCTCTGTATTTGAGAATCTGTTGTTTTTAAATTTGTTTGTTTGTTTTATATTCCAAACATAAGTGACCGTCAAGTACCATAATATCATATGGTATTTGTCTTTCTCTGACTTATTTCACTTAGCTTAAGTCTATCCATGTTACCACAAATGGCAAGATACTATTCTTTTTTATGGCTGAATAATATTCTATAATATATATACACACACACACTACATCTTCTAAAAAATTAAAAAAAATTTTAAATTACATTGTAGCTAACATACGGTGTTATATTAATTTCAAGGGTGTATATATATAATGATTCAGCACTCCCATACATCACCCAGGCTCTATCACAAGTGCATTCCTTAATCCCCATCACTTTTTTTACCCGTCCCCTCCCACCTCCCCTCTTAGAACAAACTGTCAGTTTGTTCTCTATAGCTAAGAGTTTGTTTGTTTCTTTTTTTTTTTAAATTTTTATTTATTTATGATAGTCACAGAGAGAGAGAGAGAGAGAGGCAGAGACACAGGTAGAGGGAGAAGCAGGCTCCATGTACCGGGAGCCCGACGTGGGATTCGATCCCGGGTCTCCAGGATCGCGCCCTGGGCCAAAGGCAGGCGCCAAACCGCTGCGCCACCCAGGGATCCCTAAGAGTTTGTTTCTTGCTTTGTTTCTCTTTTTATCCTTTGCTCATTTTCTTTTGCTTCTTAAATTCCAATATGAGTGAAATCATACAGTATTTGTCTTTCACTGACTGACTTATTTCATTTAGCATAATACTCTCTAGCTCCATCCATTACATTGCAAATGGCAAGATTTCATTCCTTTATTATGGCTGAACAATATTTCATTGTGTATATAGGCCACATCTTCTTTGCCCATTCATTGGTGGATGTCTACTTAGATTGCTTCCATACCTTGCCTATTGTAAATCATGCTGCAGTAAACGTAGGGGTGCACATATATTTTCAAATTAGTGTTTTCATTTTCTGTGGGTAAATATCCAGAAGTGGAATTGGCTGGAACTTATGGTAGTTCTATTTTTAGTTTGTTGAGGAACTTCCATGCTGTTTTCCACGGTGATTGTACCAATCTTTATTCCCACCAACAGTGCGTGAGGGGTTCCCTTTTCCTCACATGCTTGCCAACATTTGTTATTTTTTTGTCTTTTCGTTCTAGCTGTTTTGACTGGTGTGAGATTGAATCTCATTGTAGTTTTATTTTGTGTTTCCTGGATAATTAGTGGTGTTGAACACCTTTCCATGTGTTGGCTATCTGTAGGTCTTTGGAAAAATGTCTATTCAGATCATCTGCACATTTTAAAATCAGATTATTTGGTTTTTTGGTGTTGGGTTGTATAAGTTCTTTATGTGTTTTGGATAGTAAACCATTATTGGGTATATAGTGTGCAGATATTTTTCTGCCATTTACAAATTGCCTATTTGTTTTGTTGAGGGTATCTTTTGCTATATAAATCTTTTTATTTTAGTGTAGTCCCAGGAGCTTATTTTTGCCTTTGTTTCTCTTGCTTGAGGAGAAATATCCATAAATTTGTTGCTTATTTATTTATTTATTTATTTATTTATTTATTGCATTTTTAATTTAGATTCAATTTGCCAACATATAGCATAACACCCAGTGCTCATCCCATCAAGTGCCCCCCTCAGTGCCTGTCACTCAGTTACCCCAACCCCCCACCCACTTCCCCTTCCACTATCCCTTGTTCATTTCCCAGTTATGAGTCTCTCATGGTTTGTCTTCCTCTTTAATTTTTCCCACTCATTTTCTCTCCTTTCCCTTATAATCCCTTTCACTATTTCTTATATTCCCCGTATGAGTGAAACCATATGATGTTTGTCCTTCTCCAATTGACGTACTTCACTCAGCATAATACCCTCCAGTTCCATCCACATCAAAGCAAATGGTGGATATTCATCATTTCTGATGGCTGAGTAATTTTCCATTGTATATATAGACCACAGCTTCTTTATCCATTCATCTTTTGATGGTCACCAAGGCTCCATGCACAATTTGGCTATTGTGGACATTGCTGCTATAAACATTGGGGTGTAGGTGTTCCGGTGTTTCACTGCATCAGTAGCTTTGGGGTAAATCCCCAGCAATGCAATTGCTGGGTCATAGGGCAGCTCTATTTTTAACTCTTTGAGGAACGTCCACACAGTTTTCCAGAGTGGTTGCACCAGTTCACATTCCCACCAACAGTGCAAGAGGGTTCCCCTTTCCCCACATCCTCTCCAATATTTGTTGCTTCCTGTCTTGTTAATTTTCACCACTCTCTCTGGTGTGAGGTGGTATCTCATTGGGGTTTTGATATGTATTTCCCTGATGGCCAGTGATGCAGAGCATTTTCTCATGTGCTTGTTGGCCATGTCTATGTCTTCCTCTGAAATTTCTGGTCATGTCTTTTGCCCATTTCATGATTGGGTTGTTTGTTTCTTTGCTGTTGAGTTTAATAACTTCTTTATAGATCTTGGATACTAGCCCTTTATCAGATATGTCATTTGCAAATATCTTCTCCCATTCTGTAGGTTGTCTTTTAGTTTTGTTGACTGTTTTTTTCACGTGTAGAAGCTTTTTATCTTGATTTAAGT